AAGCTGCTACTGGGGAGCGAAGCGCCCAGATGTGGTGCCATGGGAAGCAGCTGGATGGACACTGCCTTTCTAGGAAAGTCTGGCCACTGCAGTCAGCCCTTCCTCTTTCATTTAGGAAATACCTTTGTGAAGTGGCTCTTACCCCAGTGCCCTCTCTCCAGTAAATGTGTTTTCTCCCTTTCTTAAGGCAAAGCAGAGAGCAGAGGTACTTCAGTCCACCCAGAGGTTCTTTTCTGAGCAGCAGCAGCAGCAGCAGAGCAAACCCATAGGAGGCAAAGCGCAGAAAGTGGACGAGAACGGGAGCAAACCCACCGAGGCAATTGCTGACTCTTCAGGAGTCTGCCAGGACAAAACCGAGGAAAAGCCTACCCCTGCGCCTGCTGCGGCAACAAAACCTGTTAGAACTGGACCAATCAAACCTCAGGCAATCAAAACCGAAGAAACAAAATCTTAGAGGCTGTGTTTCTGTGGAGGTGGGGGAAGAGGGGAGGGTGGGTGAGATGACAGCAGCATGAATTTGTAGCCCGAAGGACGAGACAAGAGTCTTCTCTCCCTGCGGGGCTCTGAACAGCGTGAAGGGACATAGAAGCTGTCAGCAGTTACGGGTGCAAACTGCTGCGCGTCCAACCGCGCTTCTAGGCTCCTTGGGCTTGTATCTTCTCTAACAGCATGAAGGCTGCTTTTGGTGTGTGCACATGCTACACGTGTGCGCATGTTTTGGCTTACGCACCTGTATGCTTCCCAAAGCGGGGAAAAATGGAGAAATAGCAACGGCGGGGCAGAAGGTGGCCGGGGAGGCATGTTCCTAGCTGACAAGATGAATGCTCTTATTTTCTTCAGGCTCTGATCTTCAGCTGCTATTTACCTTTTTATAAACTCATGAGTATGAGAACATGCAGATCTGAAGATGGTGCTGGGCCAAGTAATGTGTGTTAAGTTTTTCAGTGACTTAAGAAGCTTCTGTCTTGTAGTAAGCAGAGGGATTCAGATAGCTGGCAAAATTGCCTTTGCCATGTGACATCGAACGTAACGCAGATGATGTTGAATTCCCCTCGGCAGGCAGTGCTTTGCTGGCTGCTGCTTCTTGGATGACAGCACACTGTATTTAGGTCACCCTATGAAAATGCTACTTGGCCACCCGTGTTCTCCACGCCCCGCTCCCCCCCCCCCCCCTCAGTCGTTCACCTCTGGAGTTGAAAAGTTCATTGCATCAATAGTCAAATTTTGTTCTGTTCACCTCTGTCCAGCTATCTTTATATGATGCGAGTGATCTTTAAACGGTTTCCAGCTTATGTCTGTATACAGCAACGAGCACTTGGAACTGTGCCACGAGAATAAAAGAAACCTGATCGGATTAAAGAGAGTTTTACCCAAAAGGTGCATTCTTTATATCAGAGCTGCGTCGCACCACCTCCTTGCCCACAGTGTGCTGGAAAGTAGAATCAAGTCAAATAAATGCCTTTTTAATTGTATCCTCTAGTATTATAGCTGTAGGACAGTACTGTATGATACTTCTGTGAATGTAAGATATCCTGTACCTGCTTATGATATGTAGTAGTGACTGTGCTATACTGGAGCTGTTTTTAATAATGTTATTCTAGAGGTTTTTTTCCAGACAATGATTGAAAAAGCTAATAAAAAGCACCAGGTACCACATCAGTAGCAGAATTTGCTGTTTTTTTCTGGGATTTTTTTCTTTTTTTTTACATTTTTTTTTTTGGAAGGAAGAGTTGAAAGTCTAATGTGTATAATTTTGTTCAAATGACTGCAGAAGCTGGAAAGGCTGTTGCTGCTATTGATGCCTAGTGAATCGCTATTGGTTATCTTTTTATATAAATATATATATAATTTGAATTTTTGGAAACTAGCTGTGATGTCAACTTTGGAAAAAAGTATCCCACTTGTAGTGTGAGTTGGCATTGTACAGAAATTAACAGCCATATTGGTCTAGAAATGTTAAACTTAATTTTTTTTCCATTTGTACAGGGGTAACGCACTGTATTAAATATGTACGGTCTTATTTACATGGGTTTGATTACAGAAACTAATAAAAGTATTCTCTAAATAAAGTTATCCGGGTAATCTCATGATTAGCGCAGTGCTGCAGGATGCAAGGAGAGCACCTGAACGTCGTGTGCCAAGTGAAGAGTGTGTATCACAGCTTGGGGAAAAAAATAAAAAAAAAAAAAAGACTGCTAAAGAAAAAACGGTTTGAAACAGCTTATTTCTGTTTCCCCCGGCGCTGTCGATGTGGTTCTCCGGCAAAGCTCTCGCAGGACGTGGTTTCCATCGGGCCCTGGAAGGAGCCTGCCGGTGGCGTTGGCAGGACGTCCCGTCTCCGGCGCGTCGGTGAGCTGCCTGGGGCTGGAGCCGTGGGGGTTTGTGTCCCAGCGAAGAGCCGCTCGTTGGAGGGGACCGGGACGAACCGGTGGCCGGTGACCGCAGGCGCCCTCGCAGCGAGGGGCTGCTAAAAGCAAAGAGATTTCCTGCGGCGGGGGAGCGGGACTGAGCCTTGACATGGAGCCCGAGCCTTCCCGGGGACGCGGGAGGCTTCCTCCTCGTGCTGCTCCCGAACCGCTCCCTTCCCTTCCCACCTTTGCTGCCACGCTCGCTCCCGTCACACCGGTACTGGGGCCGGCCCTTAAGCCCGGGCAGAAGGAGGGGTTAAGCTTCTTTCAGTTGTGGGTCGGGGTGGGAAGCAGTGGTTTGGGGGGGCACAGAGGAGCTGGAGTCCTCTCCCGCCGAGGTCGGTCCTTTTAGGGGGTAGAACCGCAGCACTATGGAGTAAATAAAATACGCAACCCGCAGACGGAGTGATGGGCAGAGGTAACCTCCGAGCCACAGGTAAATCGCTTTTTTTTCCCCAGGAACCGTACAAGCACAGCTACAGTAAACGCTCAGGGAAAGGAGGATGAAGGTAGGGGCACAGAGTGAATATAGATACTGCCTTGATCTATGAATGTGCTATAAAGAAGTGAGTTATGCTGATGTTTCCCTGTTTTGTGGGTGGTTCCTATGGGAAAGACCCCTTAAAAATGGGAAATCACTCACCAGCCTATTCTACTTTTAAGGAAATACTGCTGAAAGGATTAATCTTAAATTCTCCCTTTAAAGCCACTGGGAGAGTCAGACAAATTTCCCACAGCCTGCGGTGGGAGCGTACCAAGCTTTTGGTTATTTCTTGCACTGAGCAAAACAAGGATAATATTTCTACAGAAGCATAATTAAAAGCAAATGTTTGGGCATTTAGTGCATCTGAATAACCTGATTGTGATGTGTGCCTCCCCAAAACAGCCCTGAACTACCCCGCTTGCCTTTGAGGCTAGGCTGAGCCTGCCCTCACTGACTGGTTCATTTTGATGACATTTCACCAGATAAGTTGCTCTTGGCTGTTTACACTGGAATAGATCTTGCTTTTTTAATTTGAGTGGGATTTGGTGTGTAATTGCTTTCCTAGGGCTCCGGTCATGACAAATATTTGTGATGATCCTCTTATAAATTGGGGGAACTATTTTGTTGGGGGAATTCACTTCTCTTTTTTTCTTAATAAGGTTCAGTCTGCAAAAAGGCTGTGAATTCCCTCAAGGGCAAGAGCGTAAGAGGGTTAATGTGACTGGGGGCAGATCCAGTAACCCGGTGGGCTCAGGCTGGCTTCTTGCTGGGCTGCGGGAGGGGAGAGACTCTCCAGGCTTACGTTTGCAAAGTCCGTTGAGTAAAGCTGTATATTCAGTGCTGTTCAGCTCCAGCCCAGCTTCTGGAAATCCTGTATACGTTGGCTTGCCTTTGTTTATTTATTATTTTTTGGGTTTTTTTTGTTTTTTTTTTTAGTCCATTAAGGGATGGCTTTCCCCACCTAAGATGACCCTGGCGTGGGCAGGGCGTGGGGAGGTGGGAAGGGCTGGGGCTGGCTCTGTGTGTGCTGCTGCTCCCCGGGGACCTCTGCCCAAAGCCTCCAGCTGCTGTGGGGTGAAGCGGAGCTCCGGCCTCACCTCCTCTCCTGTTTTGGGACAGAAACGCTGCTCCCCCATCCTCACCAGCAGGTTTTCTGTGCGTCAGGCACGCTGCCTGCTGCCACCTCCCTCTTTCTTCCCAGCCCCTGCCTGCTCCTGGGGGATCCCCAGAGCTGCCTTCGCCTTTACTGCCCCAGATCTTGCCCTGGCCTTTACCTTGTTTTTCTGCACCAGAGCCCAACCTGCTGGGTAGGTTTTTGCAGCAGGACAGAGGGACGCTGCGGGGTTACACACAGATATTTTCTGAGGACAGGAGTGCCCGCCGTGGCGGCTGCACAGGGAGCATCACGGGCCAGGGGACACCTTCGCCCACGCCGGCGTGTGTTGAGTGTCCCAGCCCCGGGCCGGGCAGCAAGAAAGGGTCTTCCAGCCTCCTGCCTTGACGTGCTGAGGTCCCCCCTGCAGCCTCAGGGCTGTGTCCCATCCCACACCCTCCCCAGCCTGTCCTGGTTCCCCAGAGCGGCACCCACTTTGTTCCTGCCCTTCTAAACTGCTGCCCAGCCCCAGGGCCTCCTGGCTCCGAGCGGTGCCATCCCCTCGCTGAGCAGCCAAACACCCCGGCACTGCAGCACCAAAGTGGGGGGGCTGCCTTCATCCCCCCCCCCCTTCCTGCCCCTCGCTGTCCCTCCCTGGCACTAGCCAGCCCAAGCTGCCGCCCGGCCACCTCCAGCTCAATAATCTTTCTCCTTCAGTAAATCTCCAGGCTTTAGCGCTGAAGTTTTACATTTTCTTCCACTTCTAGGGCGCAGCCCCTCTTTATGCGAAATAAAAGTGCTCCTGGGGTCGGCTGTGCCAGCAGCCACCTCACAAATGTGGCAGTTTCCTGGCCAAAGCTTTACAGCTCCCCCACACTCCCCCCCCCCAACCACACATTCAGCTTGTCAGTGCATGGAGGGGGGGCACCAGCGCTTCCCACCTGCACCCCTCCCAGGCTCCAGCCCACCAAACCCCCAGGGAAGGCCAGGTTTGGAAAGATGAGGTGCAAGGCAGTGGTGGTGGGCAACTTTTATTGGGCTGGGGGCTGCGGCTGCTGCTGGCCCATCTGCCCGTACGCCAGGGAGGGGGGGGAAGAAAAAAAGCCTGCTACAAACTTTCTACAATAAATAGTTAAAAGGGTGTGTTTTGGCCCGGCGTGGGGAGCGCTGCTGGCCAAGCAGGGCTGTAGCTGCCGCGTCGGTGGCCGGGCATGGCCTGTAAATATAAAGCGTGTGGCCGAGAGGGGCTGGGCACACCAAGGGGCTGCTTGGCTGCGGGATATTCCGCCAGCACTCCTCACCACTGCTCTCTTGGCTTTTTTCCCCAATAAAAAACAAGGCTTCTGCAATGAGCGTCCGTGTCCCCCGCTGATTTTGATCCTGCCGGATGATTTTTTGGAGACGGTTGAGCTCCGGGATGCCCCCGGGCATCAGCGGTGTGGGATGCAGCGGGGCTCGTGGGCTCTCAGCTCGGCTCTGCTGTTGGTGGGCAAACACTGCTTTCCCCTGCGAGCCCGGCCTGAACTGGGGGAGGCCTCCCCAAAACTGCTGCTGCTGAGGTGGGTCTGGGGAGCAGCAGTGATGCTGGTGCTCGGCCAGAGCCTGGAAACATGAACCCTGGCCCCGCAGAAGGGACCGCCGCTTGCAACAACGGAAAGTGTTTATTTTCAGGTGGGACCCTCCTGGACAGCCTCTCCCTTCCTCCACTGTGCCTGAGCCCACCCTGCTCCCAGTCTGGGGGGGGGCTGGGCTGGCTGCTCCCAGAGGATGGGGGAGCAGCTCAAGGCTGGGTACTGCTGCGGCCCACCTGAAACCTGCCGAGGCTGGGGAGAGGCTTTTTGCTGGCTCAACCAAGGTCTGGAGAAGGACTTCATTTCTCACAGCTGCACTCGAGCGCGATGGGCTGTTGCCGGAGGTGCCAGCAGGGACGTTGGCGGCCCCATCGTGGCCACGGCTGGGCAGCCTGTGGCCCCCACCATCGCCCCGGGGCTGCCCGAGGTGGCGTTCCCGGCCACGCCGGAGGGAGCTGGGGAGCGAAGCGGGGTGCCGAGGCACGCACGGGGGCTGCAGGGGCTGAGCCGGTGCATTCCCCCGGCTCACGCCCGAGCGAGGCGGATGGGGTAGGTGACCATGTTGAAGCTGTCCCAGGCGAAGAGCTGCCGCTCGGCGGGGTTGTAGTCCACCATGCTGAGGTAACGGAAGCGGTTCTCGAAGGGGATGCTGAGCGCCCGGCTGGTGCTGGTGGCCGTGTTGTAGGCGAAGTTGATGGTGGCGTTGGGCGCCGAGTAGCTGCTGACAGTGTAGAGGGTGCCGCAGATGATGAAGGAGTTGGCCACCCCCCGCTTGCGGATGTTGGTCTCCCAAGTCTGCTGGATTTCCAGTGTCTTGGGGTCCAGCTTGGAGAGGACAATGGCCCCCCGGGCCTTCTCGGTGCTGTAGATCACCCAGAGCCCCATCTCATCCACCGCCAGATCGATGTCGGTGTAGCCCCCCCAGGAGTAGGGGTACTGCCCGTGGTAGCCAGCGCCGGGGATCTCCTTCTTGGCCGTGACGGCCTCTCCCCGCAGGTCGTAGCGGGCCACGGCGCGGGAGTGGCGGGGCTGGAAGAAGAGCCCGCCGCGGTAGACCACGGCCCCCGTGCTCTCCAGGGGCTGCGGCAGGATGTGCACCTTGGCGGGGTAGCCCTGGGCCAGCTGCTCGGCCGCCTCGTACTGGAAGAGCTGACGGACCTCCGTGCCCACCGCGTCCACCCGCCACGTGGTCTCCAGCGTGAAGGGGGGCACGGGCTCGGGGTCCTTCATCCAGACGCCGTACTTGCCGGCGATGGAGTCTGCCTGGCCGAAGACGACGGGCTCCCCCACCCACACCAGCTCGCCGCAGCCTGCTCGGGGACAGGAGGGGAGAGAAAGGGGGGGTTACCGCCCGGCGAGCCCCTCGGGAGGGCCAAGCGGTGTTTGGGAGCAGCGGAGCGCGGGGGCAGTACCCGAGTCCTTGCTCCCCGGGTGGCCGAGCGCCGTCTCCTCCAGCAGCTGGGACACGGGAACCTCCGTCTTCTCCGACTGCAGCTCCTGGTAGGCGAGGGGCTGCGGATCCCAGCGCAGGGCTGCGGCGAGGCCGGGCACAGTGTGAGCAGGGGCTGAGCCAGCCCCCCCCCCCCACCCCCCACCACACCACCTGCTCTCGGCATTGGGGGGGGAGTGGAAGAAATCCCCACCAGACTGTTGCCCCCCGAAACACCAACCTGTCAGGAGCCCGGTGCCCCATCCCGCTGGGGCAGGACACATCCATGACCTGCTGATGGGGCCCCCACGCCACCGCAGCTGTTGGTGCTGTTGCCCCCCCCCCCCCCCCCCCCCCGACTGCGGGGCTTAATGCTCCTTGGTGGAAACCCCTAAATCCTCCCCCTGCCCTGGATTAGCACGATCCCCGCGCCGTGCTGCGGGGCAGATGATGGGATGAGGAGGGCTCCAGCTGCCAGCCCTCATTTAGGGATGGGGAGGGGGTTTGGTGCGATGGGCTGCGACCCCGCTGGGGTGCCCAAGAGGCGGGGGGGGAGGGGGGGGGGGGCAGTAAAAGGATTAGAGCAGCACCCGGGGGAGAGGCGCTGGCGGGGATGCCCGGGGGTGCCAGCCCTACCACTCACCTTTGCCGGGGGCGGGCAGGGCGTCACGGCCGGGCCCCTCTCTGCCAGGGGGGCAGCGGCCGGCCCGCAGCCGGGTAATCTCCCGGGTGCTGCTCTCCAGCCTCCTGCCCAGCTCCTCTTTCTCCCGCTCCAGTCGCCCCTTCTCCTCCTCCAGCCGGGATTTGGCCCGCAGCAGCTCGCCGTAGGCAGCCTGCAGCTGAGCGGCCGGGGCCACTTGCTGGGGGTCCCGCGTCCCCCCAGCTTCACCCCCCCGCTGCCCCGGACCCCCCGCGCCCCGCTCCCGGCTCTCCAGCTGGCTCAGGCGGGCGGAAAGGGCAACCAGCTCGGCCCGCAGCTCCGGCACGCCGCCGGCATCGGGGCAGGAGGCCTCGACGGGGCTGGGTACGGTGAAGGAGTAGGTGCAGCGCCCGGCGCTGTCCTCGGCGCGCCGGAGGAAAGCCGCCTGGGCCCGGCAGCCCAGGGCCAGGCCCCCCCAGAGCAGCAGCCAGACCCCCAGCATGGTCCCGGCACCTCCGCTCCGCTCCGCCGCGAACCGGCCGCTGCCGCCCGCATTTATAGGGCGGGGAGGGCAGCGGGGAGAGGGGTCGGGGCGGATGAGCGGAACCTTCCAGATGCCTGCCCCCCCTCCCCCCCCCCCCCCCCTCCCCAAACCACCCCCCTGGGGCGGCTGGCCGCGCTCCGGCAGCTTGCGGCCGCCTCCACCGACTTTGCCGCCGGGGCCGTGTGCCAGGAGCGATGCCGGGGGCCGGGGGGGCCGGACCCCCCCCCCGTTGCTGGCAGGGAGATGCCGCCAGCCCCGGGGATAACGAGCCAGCGCGGCCACGGGATGGAGCCCCCCCCCCCCCAATGCTCGCCGCCACAAAGCCCCGCCCCCGGGGAAAACCACGCCCCCCCCGACACCCGCCCCTCCTTCCCTCCCTGACTCCGCCCCCGAGCCGCCGCGCACCATCGATTGCTCGGCGCTCGGCGCAGCGCCGAGGCGGTCGATGGGACAGCTGACTGGCCGCCGCACCGGCCATTTCCCGCCGGCCCGGCCTGGAGCGGAGCCCGGTGAGCGGGGCGGCTGAGGGGCGGTTGGTGGTAACGGTGACGGGGTCCCGCGGGGTTGCGGTGCCTCTGTCTGGGCGCCGGCTCCTCTCGTCAGCGGTCCCCAAGGGCACCGGCGGGCTGGAGCGGAGCGGCGGGGCCGGGCGAAAGCGTGGGTGCCGGTCACCGGCTGCCCTTGCATTCCCTGGGGCTGTTGTATCCTCCAGCCCCGGGGACATTTTGTCGTTTCCCCATTCCTCCCCGCTCCTTCGGGCCCACGGGTGCGGGGGTTCCCCGGCCTCGGCGACGCTGCGGTTGGGGCTCCGGGCGGCGGGGGTGACCTAACCCTTCCCTGTGCCTCCCCCCGACCCCAGGCTTCTCCTCCCGGGCCCGAAGCGGCCTGTCCCGCAGGTAGAGACCATGCCTCCGAAATTCAAGCGGCACCTGAACGACGACGAGGTGACGGGCTCGGTGAAGAGCGAGCGGGTGAGCGGTGGCGGGACGGGGGACAAGCGGGTGCCCGGGGTGGGGGGCCTGCGGCTGGTTTGAGAACCCGCTTCGGTTCCTTTGGACCGTGGTGCAGCTGCCTGTTTCGTGTGAAGTGGGTTTAACCTGAAGTGTTTGTTCTGAGGTTCTACCGTGCTAAAACTGAGTTTAGACGGCAGTCTAAAACGTTGTTGCAGCCCACGGTGAGGCGCGGAATCACGACTTTAGGACCAGTAAGGTTATAAAGGAGGTATGTTTATTCAGCACTGGGCGCATGGGGGAATCATTTTCTCCAAATGCACACGCGCCTTGGAGCCAAAAGCAGCTCCTTTTTATTACGTAGAATGTTACATATGTATCACAATTCCAGGAATAGGGAGGGAATATTACAATTAGTTCCGAGAAATCCTTAAAATATCCCCCAAGCCCCCTCCCCCCCCACACACACCGACCCTCCCCTAGCAACTCCCATCTTATCAGATAAACAGCAGGTCTTAACAAAACACAGAGCATGTCCCAACAAGCAATCTTAACAGACAAAGGGCATGTCTCAACCCCCAGGTGCAATGGTTCCTGAGGGTGGGGGGGACCATCTGGTTTCCTTCGATCATGGTAGCCGTCAGTGGGACGATGAACCCGTGTTGCCAAGAAAGGTTCATTCATCCCTTGAGGGAGGTGATGGCTGAAACTATTTCGTAGTCGAGGGATTGCTTAAGTTGATTGAGCAAATGTGACAAGCAATGGAAATAGAGGTGGGCTTCAAAATAAGAGGACTGTGCTTGCAGGTGGGAGCCTGAATTTATGCACAGGGGAAGCAGCAGCTGTTGTACCATAAGGACCGTCTGATGTGTTCCTAGGCCCACATGTTTACCGTGCCATTTCCCCCTCCTGATTATTTTTGACCCTAAGTAGATATTCTTGGGAGCCCACATCTCAATTGGAAAATTCATGCTGCCCTGATATGAGAAATGAACTCTAGTAATGTCTTTGTCCAAAACTTTTAGGGTTAAGATGGATTGTGGGGTTGCTCTTAAAAATTTGGATCATTTGATGGGGTGGACTGGAAGAGCAAATCTGAGCCCAGGAGGAGCCTTTTGGTGCGAAGCAGAGTTGCTACCAGACCGCTCTGCTTTCCATCCTGGCTGTAGCCTTTGCCTGAATCGGGGGTTTGGAGGGGCCGACCCCTCCGGACATGCTGTGCAGGGAGCCCGGTGTGTTTCTTTGCAGTCATCCTCCTTATACCTGCTGCCATCAGATGGCTGGAGAAACCACGTCCTCCAAATGGGGAGCGGATCCGACTTCCCACGTGGATGGGATACCCCAGGGCGGCCAGTGTTCTCTGAGCAGCTGCCGTCGACCGAGCGCAGCGCTGGGGATCATCCCTTGAGCAGAGAGAGCCTTCCTGCCACAGCTGGCCCCGTGGGGGGACTCTGCCTGCTGCTTTCCAAAGCAGGGCTCACCGTGCTGACGCACCGGTTGCTCCTGTGTCCCAGGGAGTTTTACGGATCCCTAGAATTGGGATCTGAACCTCCACAGGCAAGTGGCTGCTGACGCAAATCCAGCTGGGCTCAGTGGCGGAGGTGTGAGTTGTCCCAGGTCAGGGCTGTGCATTGGTCTGTGCTTTACAGAGTTAGGAAACACTGCCGAGGTGATAATAGCGGCACAGAGACATCCAGCTCGGCCCTTGGTCACAAGCAGAGAGAAACAGCACGACTCCAGACACCTAAAAAGTACTGTCAGTCCTCTCCAAAGGAGGAGGGCTCGTGTGTAACCTGCAGTCAGAGGATGCTGATTGCATCTCAAGGGCTGGAAATGTGTGTGTGTGAAAGAGACGATGCTTATTGATGAGGTGGTTTGGTTTTTTTCTCTGTTTGCAGAGGAACCTGTTGGAGGAAGATTCAGATGAAGAGGAAGACTTTTTCTTGTGAGTTTCTGAACAGCCGCTGTAGGGAATGAGACGTCTTAACTGCCTACAGCTCTGAGTCCGGAGCTGTCAAATACTGAAAGCTGCTCCCTGCCACGTAGGTGGGGACTTGGGAATCAAAACCTTTGATTCCTTTGAGATGACCTCTCAGAGCCTTGGCATTGAGCGTGAATTAAGACTTAATTGGGGTGACCTTTATAAGAGTGGGGTGTCCCACGTATCCTAAGACATGGGAGGGACGGATAGGAGGTATGAGAACAATCCTCCATCCACAAGGCATTGATTCTCTTTTACATTTCATTTGAGTCTGGTTTAGAAACATGTTGTCGTTGTATATTCCATCCTGATTGCTCTTTTTTCTGTTTTTAGGAGAGGGCCTTCTGGACCAAGATTTGGACCCAGGAATGACAAGATCAGGCAGTAAGTTGTTCCTCAATGTCACACAGATATTTTATTCAGGCACTGCAAGCTCCTGCTGCTGTCTTACCAGAGTATTTCTGCATAGTTCTGAATATGAACATGGTTTGGGCTTGCTTTCTTCTAACTGACTTTTCCTACCCTGTGTGTCCACAGATAAGGGAAATAAATTTGATTCAAGCTATAAAGAAATGATGCGTTGACAGAGGCGAAGGGTTAGGGCTGTATCACAGTGGTTTAGTGGAGTTTCTGAGGCCCTTGCTGTATTCTGGTGATGGGCTGTTCCATGCTTTTATGAGGCTCTTTTTCTAGAGCATTAGCCCTCAGTTTTAACCTTCGCTAGCACCATTTTTTATTGTTTCGTTGCTTTTTTCTTTATCATGTAACTTGCTTCTCAGTGTTTCAAGAAAGCATGGGGTCAGGAACACACCAGGACCACATTTTTTTGGGCAGCAGCTGGTCCTCTGGCCTCCTCTTCTCCAGATAAAAACCTGATATATGTGACCTGGAGATGAACAGTGACTCAGTGGGTCAAAGCATCTGGAAAACAGGAAACCATTACAGCTGGAAGATCACTGGCTGTGTTATGGCAAGAAGGAATGACTTGAACACTCTGGATCCTTCTCCCATTGAGTCATTTCCTGGATGATGATTGTTCTGAGCTCCAGTTTGTCCTGCCCTTTCCTATGAGGGATGCGATGGTGGTACTTAATCGAAAGCACACAGACCCCTGGTTTGTGTTGCACTGTTTCCTTTGCTGAGTTCTGCAGAGCCAGAACAGATCTATGCAGGGACTGATGACCGGGCATTATTCAGCCTGGGTTGTCTTGTGTGCAGCCTGAGTGTTGCTCTTCATTAGGGATTTTTTTTCATGCCGGGAAGAAGCCAGCGCAGTTCTGAGATGACTCATTGCCAACATCAGCATTGGGCAGTGCTTGCCATGTTACCTTGAGGGGCAAAGTGCACATGAGTTACAGAAGAAGTGGCAGGTAAAGACATTGCCCCCTGAGTTTTCAAGGGTCTCTGTTCCCTCCGGGGTGTGAGGATGCTGTTGGTAGAGGCGCACTGGTCCTTAGAGTAAGCTAGTGTGGATAAAGCCTCCCTTCTAGGGCAGGGCCAGGCTGACCTGGAGTGACTAAGGATGAGAATTGGTCTTATGAGTGGGGTCCCACCCCCATAAAAAGGTGGAGAGGGCGTGAAGTCTACCCCTTTGTCCTCCTCTGCTGGAAACAAATTACAGAGTGTCTTCTGCCCTCCCTGTGTGGTGGGGGAAAACGGGAGCTCTCTTCCCACTGTGTTGGCCAGGCAGAAGGTAGCGGGGGCTTAGGCAGAGGATAGCACTGCAGCTGTGAAGGGGAAGAAAAATAAAACAGGAATTCACCCAAGAGCTGGTGGATTCATAGGTATGATGTGACTAATGCCCAACACACGTGAGGCTGGCCTGTTGCCAGAGATTGCCTGTCTAGTGGGCCCGGTATGGAATTATGTCCCTTGAGGTAACAGGTGACTAGATCTATCCAGTATCTAGAGCATCTGTTATAAAATAGTATCTATTTGCTGCTCTCATCAATGTTGATTGCTTTGTTTATTAAGCACTTACGGTATGCAGTCATTACTTCTTGTCATGGAACTTGTCATTAAGTTTCTGATCAGACCAGCCCTTGTGCTGGACGGACTGATGCCTGGTCTCATAATGATGCAGTTTGCTCTGCAACAGAGGAGGAAAAAGAGGGTTGGGTTGCTGCAGAAACGCTGTAAGGAAAGGACATTTTAAGGAGGAATTTGAGCATTTGGAGAGCTGAGGCATAGCTGGGCAAAGCTAGAGAGACTGTAGCTGTATGGGGCTGGAGGAATGAGGTGTGAAGATAGGTGTGAAAGGAAACTGCATGAAGGATTGGGTAGAGGAAAAAGTGATGGGATTACAGGAGAAAAGGTGCAGAACATGTTGAATGTGAAGGGCAAGACTGGAAACTTTTC